ATGGGTCGTGGGGGACGCGTTTCCTGCACTTTTCTTGCTTATGGGCTGCAAGTCAGCTTCTTAGCCAGGTCTTCCTACAATATTAATATATGTTAATTAAGGGAGGCTTTCTTGGGAGGAAGATTTGCTCCTGGCAGCCACGTCAGCCAAGTCAGTCTACAGAAAATGGTGAGATGTTGGTCTGAATTGCGCATTCAAAATCGACAATTCGGTGGAACTCTCTCCGACTTGCTTCATTACAAGATATTCATGGTCTTGTATGCAAGCTTGTGAAGTCACACTGAGGCACGGGGACCGCTGGATTGTTGACATGACAGAATCGAAGGAACGAAAATCGTTTGACCCTCAGCAGGAAAGAGTCAATGATGAATTCCATGAGTGTTGGGAATTCGCAGTGGACCGCACAGGTTCAAGCCAGAAAATGTGGTTATTGTGCCAGAGCGTATAACAAAAAAACGTAAAGTGGAGGCGTGACCGGCGTGCCATCTATTGCACTATCAGCAGCTTGTCCTACCCAGCTTTGAGAAACATGCCAAACTCCAGGAGCCGCCTCCGGAGGAGAAGAAGGTTCTTAGACCGAGCGAACGAGAGGGAGGGCTCAGAGATGATGAGGATCAAAAGGGAGAATTCATGTAAAATCGGAAATTATGTCAGTTCAATCTTGTTGTTTTAAAAGTTGTTTATATGGTTGTTCTTTCCTCGGCAGACTTTGTCGCCAGATGAAGACTTCCGACCTCAGAGACATAGAATCTTCAGATGAGGCCAACATGTCAAGCAAGAAAGGCTCAATACCTCGCCACAAAATCAGTGCATTTGCAGACTGTGGTGGCACGCTGTCTCCTCCGCTTGCTTCGCGAGTATCTTGACAAGAAAAGCTGACAGGAATTCCTTGAACAGCTCTCAGCAACAGCCTCACACAGTGTCTTTGGATGTCTTTGGACTTCCCAGGTTTGAGATAGTCGCCCAGAAGTGTATTTGCGTGCTGGCCACGAAGACAAGCATGACAGTTCCCTGCACTATGTATCCAAAGCGAGTTCATGGACAATGCGTTTTCCTTTTTTGAAGAGTTTGGAGGATGCTACTAGTAGCTCCTGGCAATACTACTAGGAACCCGAAGCTGCTAGTAACAAGGTGCATCGCTACTATAGTAATTACCAAGGACGCTGTCATTTCTCAGCTCTTGAGGTTATGAATGAGCTCGCGGCGCACCTGACCGACAAGCAGGCACCGAACATCACTCCACCATAGAAGCCCAAATAATATCTTGTTGAAGGCTCCGTGGAGTCATGACAGACGCCAGGCAGATGGCCTCTTGCGACGCCCTTTAAGACCTGGCGAGAAGGCACGGAATTATCAGGTTTGCTTCACCGTCACACTTGAACAATTATCCACGCTACCAGATTTTATGCGTAGGTGAAGGGCATTGAAGAGTTGGATGCGCAAGAGCAAGCTGTGAAGTCCCAAGTTGCGCATAACCTCGCCGATCAATGTATATAACGTTTGGGCTACGTTTGAGGTTTTGCTCTGTGAGAAGCCAGGGCCTTAACTAGGTTGAATCAAGAGTTTGGTGCATTGTTACAATTTGCAAGCAAATCTTGAGTAGTATCTACACTGATTCACTTGCGAGCCGGCTGCCCCAACAAAAACTTGCTCATAAGGAAAGTGCGATCGTTGGCCAATTCTGCTTCTTGGACTCATAGTGTCCGCTGCACATCTGCAAGATCTGCAAGAAAGATCAAGAAAGTATTAAAATAGTTTTATTGAACATACTTCAAGAACCCTAAAGTTTACGCTTCTTAGTCTGTTCCAACATGACACTTGCGGTCTACAGCGGATCGGATTAACACGTCCATGTTGCGTGGCAGGTACAGCAGGGTCAGATTTCCACACCCGTTTAAATTTAAAATACTTATAAGGCTTTCAGGTGTGGAAATCTGACCGCAACTTAGGTGTCGACATGTTGCACGTAGGATTCTAAGGGGAAAGGGTTTGTGATGTTTTAGAAGTTAAGAAGCGCAACTTTCGGCACCCCAGTGTATATATAATATATATGTAATTATATATACCATTCTATATAAACCTTAAAACGCATTTCACTTGCAGCATCTTGCAGCCTGCAATTCAGGTGCGTATCAACTACTGCGATCTCTACGGCTTTTTGAAGTTTGGCTTCAAGGAATTCGCGATCAGTTTAAATCGACCAAGGGTTTGTAAGCTCGACTAGGATGCCAGCATTCCGAGTTCCGAGTTTCTTCGATTGTCGACACAAGTAGCGACTCGACTGCCTTTCTCCAACTTAAGCTCGAACAGTTTTAAGGTCTTGATACCACGTGATTAGGGGTATCCAGCTGCCAGAGCAACAGTTAGCCATAGTCTGTCAGGGGCAGCTTGTTAAAACCTATATGGTTCATTGATGATACAGAAGTGCACAGCAGCATGGTGACCTACTTGCGTGATGCTCGAGAGGTCCTTCAAGTGCTTGCTGCAAGGGCTGGTGACGCAGACACAGTGACATATTTGCAGTGAGTTGTTGATGTCACATGCCAATGTGGTGATTTCATACGTGAAAATGTGCAATATGGATCAATATGGTGCAAAGTCTTTTTGTGAGGTGGGGTTTGCCTGGTTGTTATGCCACTAACGCACAGAAACTTTCTGCCAGAGTTCACGGCTTCGAGTGTCCTTGGGGTTTTGCCTCGAATCTCCTCAAGGCTTTGGCTGAGCCCAAGCTTGCTTAGCACCATGCGCCCTGACAACTGCTGACTGCTACCTCCCTATGCTTTTTCATTCCAAAAATTGCACAGAAACATGTAGAAACAACAAGATTTAGAGGTGTTCTTGAGCAAAAAGATACCTCGAGCAAGGCAACCATTTGCGTTCGTTGCATCTCACTACCAGATAGTTTGCAGCCTCAAACTCGAAAACTCCAGAATCAAGACAAGTTTTAAAGTCACCATGTAGGCGATCGGTAATGTGGCGGGCGTCATTTGATAAAGCGCAAGATTGTGATTTTGGATGTGGTGAAGGCCCCAACCTCTGACACACGCCGCCCTGACAGTTCAATTCACAAGCTTCGCTTTCGCTCTACATTGCACCTGTGATCCCAAGTCGCGTGCAGCCTTGACAGCGCCATTCGCAATACTATGTGCATCATACCGACCAACCGCCCACGACCCGCCTGTCATGCGGACTGAACCACTCGACAGCAGCTGTCCCGCTCTCGGAGCACTCAGCATCCACGCTCCCGCTGTCCTGCACTACCCTTTGCACCTCTCCATACCTCTCCCCATTTATCGCCGAGCTCTCCGCTGCAATTTTTCAGAGTGGTGGCTACTCCCCCACGCACATTGCTCTTCAATTTCCATCCAAGGCTTCCATTGGGCTTGAAAGTTCAGACCACTGCACCCCGTATTGCAAAAGTACTGCAAGTCTGCATGGCCAAGTGGTATGAAGCTTCCCACGACTGCCACAGCGCTTCCCAGGGTTGTTGACTGGCACATACTTTGTTCAAGACTTTCCATTCCTGCTGCATCATTGTGAAAGGTGCCACGATTGCCTTAGTAGTACCTCCCCGTGCATATTTTTGCCTCTCAATATTTTCTTTGCCCAGGGAACAACTGCTCAATGCCACATTGCAGTGGATGTTGCTAGAGCCCTAGAAAGGTTCCAAAATACTTGTTGCCCAAAGTTCGGATGTCTAAAGAATAGTAATTCTATTTTTGCGGGGCTCTTTATGGGTTCTAGCATCCTTGCACCATTGCACTTGAAGTAGGGACTGTTCTTTTTCATTTATGCGCTTGGCCAAAGTTCAGCTCGCATGTTTCATTCGCAGGAGCCCAAGTTCAACCGCAAAAAGACACTTTGAGAGTTGCAAGGCTAGACGTGCTAGGCTAGACGTACTGGAGGCTGTGCAGGCACCCGACTTGCATGGCATGGGGCATTTGTCATGACCATTCGCCAATGACAACACCAGCTTTGCGAAATGCGCCCCATCCAAAAAGTGCAGCAGAAATACAGCCTGAGTATTTATTTCAATTTGGTTCCTGTGAAAGTGAAACATGTGGAGCCACTCGTCGTGCTTTTGACCGAGTAGGTTTTCCGTTCGTTGCTTGCTACACGCAGTAGTAGCGGAGCTACCAAAGCTCCGGGGACCGCGCAGCCATGTCAGGAAGCGAAGCTGGAGACTAGTATGGACCTGGTCGAGCACTCGCCATGTCGGCGACCACTGCGACACCATCCGGCTTCATGCGGCGAATTACGTCTGTGATGCGGATTTGCGCGGCCTTGGTGGAAAGTGCGTTTGCGTGGCGCCGTGCCACTGGGGAGCACGAAACATGCTGGCGTAAACGCGGCGTGTTGCTGGTGAGCGGGATGATTGGCGGTATCGTGTGATAGGACTGCTTCTATGGTGTGTGGGCAGACCGCAGTACCATGCGGATTTGCGCGGCCTTGGTGAAAGTGCGTTTGCGTGGCGCCGTGCCACTGGGGAGCGCGAAACATGCTGGCGTAAACGCGGCGTGTCGCTGGTGAGCGGGATGATCGGCGGTATCGCGTGATAGGACTGCGCAGGAACCTGGTTTGCAGCATGTCTTGTACATGTCCACGTCGCCCACTTTTGCCCAGGGGCCCCTTTTTCAGGATAGAGCTGATCACTGCGATCAGGTGAAAAGTCCACCGTACTGTGGGTACATTGTTGGCCGCCATATCGTTCGAACGATCGCCCCTGCGCTTCCTTCGCTGCATTGGCAGCGGAGCTACGTGCTCCGGCCGTTGGGTTTTGCTTGGTGCTGCCTGCCTTAGCCGGGTTGAGTACATCTCGAACGAAATCTCCTCGTGGCAGACAGCACCTGGTTTGTTTCTACATCCTTGTCATTAAGGCCCTGCTCCTCCTTGAGTTCATCGACGACACTGGCCTGAGCAGGAGCTGACTTGGATTGAGCCCCACTTTTTTGTTTTGCATTTCTCCTTTATGATTCGATTTTCTCCCTGGGCATTAGAAGATGAGCGACAAGGACTTCCAAGTCCCTGGATGGGACGGCGCCGCCAGAACATGGCGGCGATACACCAGAAAAGTTGCTTGGTACTTTCGTGCCACCCCTGTGAGCAAGCGCAGGTATGTGGCAACCAAGCTTTTGGCAAAGCTGTCAGAAGCGGCAAGGCTTCTGGCCATGAGCTGGAGCGACATGTCCCTCGATGACTACAACGGGACCAAGACCCTGCTCCAGCGTCTGGCTTCATCGCCGCTCGTTCGACAGAGCATTCCAAATGCCTCAGCGATATGCGCACAATACTTTGAGTTCAAGAGAGGTGCTCACGAACCCACGACGGCCTTCCTGGTGAGAGAAAGCCTGGGCTTTGCTGAGTTCGTTGAATCGCTGGTGCGCCTGGCTGAGCAGAAACGAGGTATTCGACCAGAAGATGGTGATTTTGGATTGCCCCCTGAAGAATATGAACAGGATGATGACTCCACTTATGCCGCTTGGCAGTACTGGCAAGAGGACGACTGGGCAACTGCGGAGGTGGCCCTGATGGAATTGGTACATCGTCAAATGGATGTCCTGGAGGAGGAGAAGAAGCCACGTCGTTCTCCCTACAAGAGTCAACCTGCATCCAAGACTCGCGAGACAAGCCCAGCTCAGTCTTGGGATATGGTGCCTACAGCGACTCCGACCAAGACCAAGGAGTCGACCTTGGAGGACGAGCTGTGCCAGTACCTGGAGACCACGGAGTTGCAGCAGCTCACCGCCTCCTCAAAGATTGCAGAGCAGCAGCCGGGGAGTCAAGTCCTCCGGCACTTCAGGGACTGGCCGCAGCCTTCGAAGGGGAACTATGAGCTCTTCATCCTCACCCTTGAAGCGTTCGATGGCCAACTCAGGTGATGTTGATGGCTACAACATTGATGAGCACTATGACATCCATGACTACAGACTTCCTGCTGGACAACCGTGATGGACTATGGGAAGTGGCTTGTGCTCCTCATTCTTGGCTCACGGAGGCCTGTGAACAACAAGGCCTACGACCACGGCGCATCAACTTGACGGAAGGCGGTCCACATGGGATCACATGCGAGATCTACGTCGACGTCATCGTCCTCGGCGTCTTTGGTTCTCAATGCCGTGCACCAAGTGGTGTCGTTGGACCGCGCTGAAAACTATGCCTCTCCGGAGAAGCGTGAACTTCTTGCTGGCTATCGACGCCGTGAGAGAAGGATGCTATGGATGATGGTCCGCTTCAGTGAAGAAACAGTGGAAGAAGATCCAACCACAGACATCTACTTTGACTGGCCCTATCCATGTGAAGGTTGGAAAGAAGCTCCTCTAATCCACTTGGCCGACTTTCTGAACAAGCTTGGCCTTGACTGGCTTCCATGTCGAATTGATGGCTGCCGCTATGGCTTGCGAGAAAAGAGTGGCGAAGGTGATTTTTTCGAAAGCAATGGTTGGTGCGCACCACTAGCACCAACTTCGTTTCGAGCCAAATTATGTCAAGGAGGACACTCTCATGCCTACATCCAAGGGATCGAGACGGCGAAGAGTGCCTACTATGGAGTATGGTGAAGGCCGTCGCCCATGTTTGGAGGCAAGAGCTTCTGAGTGATCGCAATCATCGTTTGCTATTTGCTCGTCAAGACCTTCCGGCCTTAAGTTCACTGTGGAAGAAGAGCTACTTGCTGCTGAAGAACAACATCTTGCTCTCCCAACTCTACGAGCCTCTGCAAGCAGCGATCTACAACCTTATGAACCTCCTTCGCACTTCAACCAACAGAGCGTGAGAAAAAGGAGCGGCACACAAAACTACATCACTTCTATCGTGCAGCTGGCCATCCGACTGCCAAGAATCTTGCTAGGCTCATCAAAGATTGCAGTGCTCCTCAAGACCTACCCTGGGCTCTCTATGCAGGCTGAATCAGCGGATGAGGTCATTCGTGCTCTCTCCTTGGGGCGGTTGGCACACTATCCCAAATTCAACCAGTTCACGGTGGAACAAAACATCTTTCTGCACTTCCCTCCGGAGAAAGAACCATGGAGTCATGGAATCGTTGAAGCAGCAATTCAAGATGTGAAACATGTGGCCTCAGCGAATCAAAAAGAAGCCTTGGACAATTTGCCGGAAGTGACCTTAGCACTGGCCACCTCAGCTCTGAACAGCACCGAGTACACCGCTGGCTTCTCCTCGCATCAATGGGCTTTTGGTGCAAAGTACTCCATCAACGATGAGGATGCACGCATGTGGCAAGGTGTAGCTCCTCATCTGGACTTCATCAACGCCTCCAAGGCCCGCTTAGCTGCTGAAGAGATTGCCCGACAGTCTCGCGCGAGAAGAGTGCTGAGTAAACTGGCAGACACAACAGTGAAGCAGCCTCTCCGACAATATAAGATCACCGACCTCGTCATGGTTTGGCGTAAAGTTCAAGTTGGTGATCAACATCAAGGCAGCCGAGGGGGTCACAAGAACTCGTCACGGAGACAGAGCGACTTCATCATGAACTGCATGACCTCCGATGAAGATCCTTCAAGCTGGAAAACTTTGGAAGATTTGTTGCCTCACCGCAGCTATGACGACGTCACCAGTGAAGTTCCTGGCGCTGATGAGCTAGAGCTTCCAGGTCTTCCAGAAGAGCCTGATGAGACGACCTATGCACCAATCCGCCGAGCCATCGGCAAGAGCACCTTGGGACCATCTGACTACAAGAAGGTCCATCGATCTACTTGGATTGGACTTGGCCCTCGCTCTACAACACCAGCAAAGTATCTTCCAGATCCTGTACCTCGACCAGAACCTGGTGGTTCTTCCTCTTCTGCCAAACTTTCACCTCCTGAAGGTCTTGAAGAATACACACCATCAAGTGGCGGAGAAGATGCCAACAGCTATGAGAACAAGAAAAGATCAGATGATGGTGCTCCCGTCACTGAGCCTGAAACCAAGAAGCCTCGACATGAAGACTATGATCTTGGTTGGGTTGAAGCTCTTCAGGCCGAGGCCATGGAGGAGATCACCCACGAGGACATCTTCAACGTCCTTCAGGTCTATGACGGTGACTGCCTCTCCATTGAGATCGAGATCAATGTGGCATCTCATACTCAAAAGCGAAACTTCCTCCACAACCCGATTGCCTACCTGACCAAGAAGCTGAACAGCGCCGAGGTGCATCTGAAGCATCTCTCTGATGCGGAGCGCCTATTGTTTGTTCGAGCCAAGGCAAAAGAGGTGTCATCCTTCCTGAAGAACCAGGCCGTGCGCAAGTGCTTGGATGACAATGAGCTCCGTGATGCTACATCTACTTACAAACTTAACACTGTTTCTCCACCCGTCGTCTAGTTCCAGGCTGTAGAGCAAACGGGACCAAACCAGCGCTCGACGTGATCGATTGGGGGACATGCTTTCAAGCCTTAGATCCACTGGACGAGATGAGTTCCCAGCGTGCGTGGAGAGCGTTTCGACGGGTTGTCACGCGACTTGCTTGGGTCAGACAAAGAGGTCATCCTGATGGATCACGGGCGCGTGAGAGTTTCTTGGAAAGTTCTCAGCTCAAAGTTTATTGTCCAAAGAACCGACTTTTCAGCAGATCTGGTTTCTCACTGGCACAGCGACCTCTAAATTCGATAGGCCGCCGTGGAGTCTTTCCTGAAGCAAACAGCTCAAGAAGAGATTCAGAAAGCCATCACAACCAACCGCTTGTCCAAGACGTTTTTGCCAGGTGGTGGTCTACGCGTACCGCAAACCATTTCTAAAGAGAGGCCAGACAGCGGTTAGCAACAGACCTTGCTGGGTTGGCCCCAGCGCGATGGTTGAAGGTTCTCCAGCTAGGAGAGGAGGCCTGTGGGCACTCCCGTGGAGAAGGAAGCAACTCCTTGAAGAAGAGATTGAGCATTGAAAAGGAAACTGCGCACAAAGATGCGTCAAACTCCCGCTTGCAGAGGAACCGCCCAGGCATAGAGCAAGGATCATGGATGAACCTGAAGAAGGACTTCAGGTCAGGATCAGAGGAAGCAGAACCCTTTGAGATCCTGGTCAGAGGCGGAAGGAGAGGAAGAGCAGTTCACACCTGGCAAATCGGCCACGCAGTCCGATACAGAATGAGATGCCCCCTCAACGCAATAAAGGTTTCAGAAGCCTTTCAACCCACAAGCAGCGATTACGAGCTCTATGTCAAGACAGCTCAGGAAAAGGCAGAAGTAAGAAAATGAAGAGGCCGAAGACTACTGGCTTGTAGGCTTGTAGATCCTGATCGTAAAGCCTTTCAAGCCACATCCCCATTCAACAACTGCCAAGTTGTTTTGAAGCACTTGACCTCACATTGAAGGTCTGGTAAGACCACCTTGGATGGAAAGAAGACAGTGTCAATTGTCAACGGGAGAGCGGAGGACAAAGGAAGAAGAAGAAGAAGCACCGAAATGATTTCAAAAGAGCAAATGTGTCCGAAGAAGTGAAGGCGTTGCTGGTGCAGAAGGTGAGTGATGAGGTGCAGGAGGACAGCATTCCACTTGAAGAGTTGCACAATTAAAGGAGAACGCACCTCAGTTGGCTGAAGCTGGAAGATCTTTGAGAATACTTCCTTCAAGGATTGTGAGGAAGTGGAAGCCAGCGGACCGGCCGGGTCAACCTCAAGCAAGAAAGTCAAGGTGGCATGTCTGAGGACGCAGAGACCCAGATCTCTTACCCTTGAGCCGCTATGCTCCAACGGCCACGACAGCTGCAGTATCAATTGCCACGCAAGCAGCTGCGAACCGAGGCTGGAAGACAGTCATTGGAGGCCTCAAGACTGTGTTCACGCCGTCAGACGTCAGAGCCTTGGCGGCAACCAAGAGGAGGAAGCAGGGACAGCTGATCAAGATTCTTGCTGGGGCTTGTGGTTTAGGAGATGCTCCCACGCGCTCACGAAGGTCTCGGAAGAAGGTGTTGCTCGAGTTGGGGCGCGCGCAGTCCGCGATGGATCCACGCTCATTCAAGGTCGGGAAGTCAACAGCGGCGTAGTGATTGTAGCGGGTGATGACCTTCTATGCCTTGGAGACCAAGAACATGAAAGGAAGCTGGAAGAGCTTCGCTCACGCTTTCGGTTCGGGAACCTCGTGGATTTAGCCAGTTAACCTGAGAGCTTTCGAAGGGACCTCATTCAACGAGAGGCGAGTCCGAGCTCGCGAAGGCGGAGGCGGTGGAGGATATTTGATCGACGCGAAGAAGATTGTCAGCGAGAGGCTCGAGGAAGTTCCAATCAAGAAGAGAACGCAGAGAAAAGAAGGAGCCTCAGGAGGAGAAAGGCCAGGCAAGGGCAGCCATAGGGGCACTCACACGCACCACTAAAGAAGACAGCGTCTGTGGTTGCAGCTGCGAGGGTTCGCAGTGTTGAGTTATATGATGAGGAGCCGATTCGGACTGGAAATCTGATTGGAGGACTGGAAAAGATGCACCGGCTAGTGAATTTAACACTTGCTGCAGAGGCGCGGAGCATGTCACAGTGTACAACCGACACACCGTTTCACTGTGAGGAACTTTGAGCTGAGAAAACGGGGAGAAGCCATCGAGCAAGGGCGCTTACACGCAACGGTGATGCACGCAACGGTCAAAACCACCATCGGAAACACAGAAGACCGGAGGACTGCAAGCGACATGCAATGCAGTAGGCAGCTTTTGCGCGAGGTAGGTGTCCATGTAAACTGGATCCGCCGGGAGCAGCTGCTTGTGGATTGTCCAATGAAGACAATGAAGGGATTTGGCAACATCGTGCTTTTGACCGAGAGTCGGGACCACCTTCACCGGTGGGTTTGCCGTTCGTTGCTTGCTACCCACAGTTCCCAAATTTGCACCAGATTTGATTTTGCTTTTGTTCTAATGAGAATCACTGAACTCACACTGGCGGCAGCTCAAGCAGTTAGACTCAAGTCCTTCGCACGCAAGAAGGGAGGCCAGTTTGCGCATTTGTCGCTTTACGTTTGTTTTGTGCATTTTTTCGCGCAAAACTCTTGACAGTTGCAGGTGACGCCATGGCTGGGCTCACAGAGGAAATGAAACAATTGCGCGGAGCTGGGACTTTTGTCCGTGGTGAAGTACATCACCCACAATAAAGTTTTTTTGATCTAAGGGCAGGCTTTCGCCGCGGCGTGCCCCTGCAGAACAACCACAGGCATTCGGACCTGCTGCCACCATTGAACGATTGCTGTTGATGGAAACGCCCAGGAACCAGAATGGTGAGTAGTTGCAAAAATCTGTGCATACGCCAGCAAATTTGTTTTGTGTTTTTTCAAGCATTGCATTTGAATTTGAGTGGCCTTTTGCCGACATGTTTCAGTAATCTTGGTGATGAGCTTGAAAAATCAGTTCAACTCACAACTGGCAGGGGTGCAACACTGGAAAACTCAGAGTACCTAGCTTCGAAGGCCAGTGCGCGCGTGCCTTCATATTTTGGTTTCCGGATGCGCGTTGCGTAGACACTTTCCCATTAGGTTTCGTGGTTGGCGCCGAAAGCAAAAATAGACAGATCACGCGGGCGGAGTGATCGTATTGCAAATCCGCACTCACCGAATCTGCTAAGGGGCGTAAGCCTGTTGGGTCGTGTTCTGTTTTTTTCTCTTTAGCTAGAGGGGGGCATATCCTGCGTCATGAAGTGTGTTTGGGAGAGGAGTGGGAGTGGGAGATATGAGATATCATGGGAAACCACATGGTGTTCACATATCATGTTCGTTTATCTTTGTTTCTCATTATAGCATCATTTGCATCACCAGGTCCATGAAAAGCAAACAAACGACTCCTCTCCATGGTCTACGCTTTAGTACCTTTCTTGCACAAAATGCCTGCAAACTCATATAGGACACCGCGAAATATGTACAATTTCAACGTGGTCGAAGAATACTTCGAACAGTTTAAACTATGCTTTCGATTTGTAAGAAGGACATAGCTAAGCATTTTGATGATATTCATTCATCCACTTCACGCTGCGCTCACCTCTAAGTATTGCCTTGATCATGCACATTGCATAGGTTGTTGCAACAACCATTCCATTGTTCGGCGCCCTTGAGAATGTACAATGTCAAGGGTGTCGAAAAATATGAAAAATAGATCCAACAATGCTTGCAAATTGTAAGTGGTGCGTGTATGGTTAAACAGTTGATCAGGCAGTCCAAAACTAGAGTGAATTACTATTGGGGCTTCTTTCACCCTCTCTCGTTGTTGTGAAGCGACCCGAATACAATATACATCAACGCAGGCCGACCGGAGGTGTAGCACCGGGGCATTCATGCATATATGCATTTTTCATGCATACCTACCGACCTACCTACCTACAGACTGCCCTAACCATACCATATACTTGCCTACCTACCTCTTTGCGTACTTACCTGCAGGCAGCACACTGTTGCTGCATCCATCGGAAATTTTTGGCTCAAGGCTCGTGCAAAGGGATTGCAACCTTTTGGAATTATTGGCTTTTGGCGTTTGCGGCTTCTGCGGCTTTGGGCTTTGGTGACTCCTGTGGCTTTTGACCTGAGCAGCTTCTGCGGCTTTTGGCCTTCTGTGGCTTTGGGTTGGTTTAGATTTGATGGCGTGCTTTTTGTTTCTGGTGGAGTTCGTTGGGTTTCAATGGCGTGGTTTCGATGACAAATTCTTGTTTTCCACTTTGGTTTGCTCTCCAGCTTTTTCAAGCCAAACCAACTAAACAAAGCTAAGTCGCGGCCGCGGCCGAACTAGAGCGAAGGCCAAGCAGCTTGGGGTAGGGGATGCATTCAAAGCCCATATGGAGCAACCAAGCAAAGCCAAGCCAACAAGAATCAAAAAAAAGCAAAACAACAGATAAAGAAGGAGCAAATGCACGCTAGCCGTGCAGCCTGTACAACAATGAAGTCACACTTGAAACGCGAACCCCTTTCTTTGAGCTCTCACGTTGCGTTCATCTCCACAGTTTACATGCTCATGGCTCATGAACCTTACGCTTCTCCAAATTCTGTGGAACTTCAGCCTGAGCTTTGTCCTGGTGCTGACATTCTCATCCATTGATACTCCTCTGTATGACATTTGCGTGAGGCGGATGCGCTTCATGATGTCGACTGCTCTTCCCTTTGGCGCTATATATATATATAACTGGCCCCAAGTTATTGGTAAGCCCAGGAAGAAACCTCAACAGCTGGGCATCAAAATCCGCCTACTGCAATGGCACCATCGCGAGTACATCAACAAGTGTTGTGTTCTTGCCGGACAACGTGGTCTTCAGAAGCGTGAACCTTTTCAAACATGCCAGAACTATAGCAAACAAGTCAGCGCGACAGCATGACCCGACCACAGCATCTCAGCCTGACAACACGTCAGCATGTTAGCGCGCCCCACGTCGGCGTGCTGGCGTGACAACGTATCAGCCTACCGGGGTGGCAACGCATCAGCGCGTCAGAAACAAGATGGAACCCACGAACCCGAACGCAAACACGTACTTGAAAACAAGCACCCAAACAATTTTGGACACTCTTGTAGGAGACTTTTGTGGGACACTCTTGTAGGACACATTCTTTTCGGAAACCTTGGTGGGAGACTCTTGCGCACTCTTGTGGGACACCGTGTATGACACTCACTCTTGTGGGACAATCTTGCGGCTTGTAGGACACTCGTGTGAGACACTCTTGTTGTAGGACACTCTTGTCGAACACGTTTGTAAAACACACTTGTGGGACACTCTTGTGGAACACTCTTGCGGAACACTCTTGTAGGACCCTCTTGTGGGACACTCTTGTGGGACACTCTCACAGGACACTCCTGCGGAACACTCTTGTAGGACCTCTTGCGAAACTCTCTCGTAGGACACTCTTGTGGGAAAAAATGTGTGGGCCACTCTTGCGGGGAACTCTGGTAGGACACTCTTGCAGGACATTCTTGTGGGACACTCTTGCGGGAGACTTTTCCGGGACACTCTTGTGGGACACTCTTCTATAGGACACTCTTGCAGGGCACTCTTGTCGGACAGTTTTGTGGGACACTCTTGTAGGACACTCTTCCACAAGAGTGCCCCGCAAGAGTGTCCTACAAGAGTGTCCCGCAAGAACGTCCAATATGAGTGACCTACAAGAGTGTCTCACAAGAGTGTCCTACAAGCGAGTTCCGCAGGAGTGTCCTGTGAGAGTGTCCCACAATAGTGTCCTACTAGAGTGTCCCGCGAGAGTGTCCCACAAGAGCGTCCTGCAAGGATGCCCCACAAGTGTGTTTTACAAGAGTGTCCCACAAGAGTGTCCGACAAGAGTGTCCTGCAAGGATGCCCCACAAAATTGACAAACAAGAGTGTCCCACAAGAATGTCCTGCAAGAGTGCCCCTCGAGAGTGTCCTACCAGAGTTCCCCGCAAGAGTGGCCCACAGAGTGTCCCACAAGAGTGTCCTACGAGAGAGTTTCGCAAGAGTATCCTACAAGAGTGTTCCGCAAGAGTGCCTCGCAAGAGTGAGTGTCATATATAGGTTTCCCCCAAGAGTGTCCCACATCTCCGGAACTCGAACCTCGTCCGGAACTTGCTCGGGAACCCCCTCCGATCTGCGCCCAGGGTTTTACTATGGCTGAAGACCCCTAAGCCTCATTGTTGGCAAAAAATATAGGTATCCACCGGTTTTCTAAGGCTGAATCCTGCTACACATATCTACACATTAACACGGAGTCAATCACTTGAAACTAGAAGTTTGGTAAGGGGCACAGACACGATTTGCTTTATGGGACCAGCGATCGTACAAGTCGTAGCAGGTGCAAGTCCTTCATTCTGGTCACCAGTCCCAGAATGATTATCATGTTTGGCAGGAGAACGTTCAGCCTGTGGAGCTGGAGAATTTGAAGAGAGTATTCAAGTGGCTCGAAACACAGCCCACGCCATGCGCACAACCGTCGCACCATTGCCTCCCTGGTTGAGGCTTGACACCAAGAAGGATGACAGAATTTGCTGGCAGGAAAGCAAATGTGTTTCAAACAGTTTACTTTGCAATCAATCCTTCAGTGGCATTTGGTTTTGTGCAGAGTTTCTTGCTACAGTAGGTGTTGCATTGCCAGGAGCTGTCAGAAGCACTTGTCAAACTTGGTCCGCAGCTGACAGAATGTGCCGACTCGAAAGGGTTGTTCCAAGTGTTTTTTCCAGGTGCCAAGACACCAAAAGATCAGATCGAGCTTTGGATCTGGGAGGCTGCGAGAGTTTTTTGCCGAAAACGTTTTGAAAAACCGATGTCCAAAGTGCTAGCTGCCAAGCTGTCCAAGTTCCAGGGGTGTCGCTCGAATTTGTGTTTTCCTAGATATGTTCAGTTTTATATAGATCCAAGATAATTTTGAAGTACAGAAGTTCGCGGGTACGGTTCTTTGCATTAATTATTGCCTAATAATGTTAAACTCCTTTAGCACCAATGGAATGGCACCCTTTGTTCTTTCTTGGCTGCAGGTGGATGATGATTTGGATCAGATGGTAGGACAGCACCTCCTCTCGTTGAAGGACTTAGATCAAGATGAGCAATGATGTACAGTAATGTGTTTTGAGGATGGGACGAGTTCCTCACTATGTACCAAAGGACGGGTCAAACTTGGTCAGCACTGCTCACCTGGCGCAAGAATTGCATCATGTCATGTCGGACAAAGTCTCCATCCAACCTCATTGGAAGCAACCAACTAACCGAAGCAATCAAGTTTCACATTCAGGTGCATATCTGACCAGACAGGCTTCGAGCAGCATCCTTAGCTGCCTTATTTGTTTCTCACTCCAATCCTGCGCCCACAGAACCTCTAGGCCCAGAAACCTCTTTAACTTGGTCCAGTTCTTGATGTACGACAAGGACAGAGCTGGTGTGTTGGTGTGTTGTGGCAGCGGGGCGTGGTCTGGTGGTTGTGGTATGGTTTCGGGAGTGTGCAGGTCGGATGGAGTCACAACGGCAAGATTCAGACACGTCCAAGATGAATTTCATCATTGGAGTTGTCAAGTTTCAGCTTACTGTCGATCCTATTTGATCCTATTTTTAGGTCCAACGTCCTTCTATCCAACACAATGAGTTGCCTAATGTGAATGTCTTTTCGCCATCACACAACCTGAGTGGTGGGCATGCGTATGCCTGTACTTTCTACAGTGAAAGTGCTGCTTCGCTCTGAATTATAGGAGTGCATCGAGCTCCATCAAAGCTGCCAAGTGTTCACAGATGTTTTTTGTCAAACAAAAACATCCGTACGGATTGGAAACCGTACCCTTTTTTGCAGGTTCTCATGTCAAATTCACTGGTAAACGCAGTGCTTTGTCATGCGTTTAGATAAAATAAATAAAACACGGCTTTTTCGCGAAACCTCAAGTTGCCTGTTTTTTGTGTTACCAGCTGTCCCCAGTCAGGCTCCGAGTGCAAGTCTTTTTCATCGATGCCATTGTCGATCAAGTGTGAACAACGAAAAACGAGTTTCTAACACCTGCTCCCAGTTTACCCAGCCACGATCTGAACCCAAACCTGTTTCGTGAACAAAAGAAACAAAAGAAACTCAAGGGTCAGAACAATCACGAGTTAAGCCGTCTACGTACTGGTCTAAAGAAAAAGGGCTGAAAGGAAGAAAACACAAAAACGAGGAGGACAAGAAACACTCGACAACCGAAACAACAAAACTAAAGCACACACCGTGGCTACGTCTTGAGCCTTCATGCTCATGAGACGTATGTGAAAACAAGAACGATTTGACGGCACCCACCCCCATGTTTTTCTGTTTTTGGGCCCCCTTTTACGCTATTGCTTCAACTTGGTTACTGTATCTTGCCATAACATTTGGCTCAAGGTATGTGCATGTGAAAACAACCGCTCGATCGCCTTCGCTCACTCGCTCTTGTGAACCTTGTTGGACTGTGAGTTGAATCCAGGGATACTATGTATTACACGCTCCGCTGCAGGGAATTTGACCCTCACCCCAACCCCCCCAACACCATGCGATGACATGACCAAGCGTCGTGGAGTCCAAAAATGTCAGAAAAGTGGGTCCGGTTTTCAGTCCCTATGCAAAAACATGAATGACGACTTGGCCCCATTGGTTGGGAGCAATGACAGTCATTCAATCAAGACATCGTGTGCAAGTTGGCTTTGGAACTCTCATCCAAACCAAGCACCCTTCAACGATCCGGCAGAAAGCCGAAACTAAATGGGCCAACGAACAGGCTGAAACAGAAGAGAAGACCCCGTCTCAAGAACCTTTTTTGCCAAACGGGCATTTCATTTCGTGTGAGATATCCTGCTTCAATTCAAGGGTGGAGCACTCTACAAAGAGTGTGTGTGCGTGTCAACTCCCGTCTCTAAGGAGACTACAGCATGTTCAGACATCAGGATCTGGGGTGTTTCGCAGGATCCAACGAAATTGTCGCTTCGAGGCCGTCGGAGTCCCGAAGAGTACTAGCCTCCCAATCACGCTCCATAGAAGGGAAATCCCTTGCGTGTAGGAAGGTCTTTTGCCCTGGGGGTCATGGCATTTGCTTCCCATGTTGGTGACCCGAAGATAGTGCATGAGGTGACGTGACAAACCCCAAGATCAACTTTGTATATACAGGTCCATGGAGTCCATGGCTTGGCCAACTGCGCAGTTCGTTTCGTCAATATACAGTGCAGGGGAGCGGAGCCAGGTGAGGGGTCTCCGGCCAAGAAAGACACCAATCACCTGGGTGCAAACGTACCTGCACTTGTGACAACACCCCACTCTTCCACCGCTGTGGTTTGTTTCCATGGTGTTTGCATGATATTCCCCAAAACCTTTTATGCACAGCGTTAATTCGATCTGCTGGGTAGTCAGTAACTACAATCCGGAACTTCCCCAACTGATACTGCTCTTGCGAGCCCTTATCCAAGTGTGGTATGGTCCTGCACCTGCCACAAACTTGTTGTAGGGAACGTCTCCGATCTTATGCCAGCTGGGCCAGGCCAGAGGAAACCTCGCACTGACCTGCAGAGAGAGAGAGAGAGAGCGCCCACCTTGGCCAATCGCACCATTTGTGGCACCAAAAGCACAGCCCTGGTCGAGCTTGCCCACACCACCGCTGGCATCCGAGGACACCTTGAAAAACATGCCATTCTACCCTCGCCGTAAGAACTCCTACAGCAGCTGAGCAGCAGAGCAGCTGCTTCCGAGATCTTCGGATTCAAAAATTGTCGTTCGCCTCTTTCGCGCTCATTGGTGCAAAGACCGATCCTCCTTCACATCCATCGGGTCGAACGCTAGGAGTTCCATGGCAAGATCAGCGTGGAGCAGACCCTGCAGATTATTTATGTCCGACACGGCTGGGTTTGTATTGAGATGTATTTGGAGATGTCATGAGATGTCCGTTTTCTTTTTGGCTGCAAAATTTGATGGATTCTTCATACACAGTTTTAGATGTGCAGAATATCGCAGGCAGAAGTAATTTGGATGATGAGATCACCGAAATCTTCGGGCAGCAGCAGAAAGGAGCAAACTAGTTCAGATAACATACAAGCAGTTGGAAGTCATCAAAAACAGGAATCCGAGAGGGCAGACCATAGAATATTCCGATCTGTACTTGGTCGCAGATGTTGAGAGGCTCTGATGGCCAAGAGTTGAAGATCTCCTTCTCCCAATATTTAGCTTTGGGCTCAGATGAGCTCAGATGGGCTCAGGAGCACTTGAGTGCCTTTTGACAGTCATGAGATCTTGTCTGAGCAGTGTGTGTGTGTGTGTGTTCGTGCGTCTTAAGAATTTGGCAACAACTCAAGGCGCGTGCCAACGCAAGACTGAGCAAACTGCCAGGGCCTTCAGTTGCCTTTAATCACCCTGTGCAGAGAAATGATTTCTGCTCTGGCGAGGCGATGGCAAGACAAGAAGGTGACGAACCCTGCCAAGAAGTAAATACTCTGAGGCTTCCTGCTGCACTGCGTTTCACAGCGTTTCACGGGTGCACGTGTCACAGGCATACTCAGGCATTGAGGGAACAATGGAGATATCTCAGCACCTTTAGGGCATAGCTGTCGGCTTCTCCAAGCACCATCCACAAGTTTTGAAGGTAGAACAAATCACTGCCAGTGCACGCTTCCAGGTGCTTTCATATCAAACACTGAACCCAACAAGACAAGGATTCTGTAAGCAGTGTGTTTTGCAATTCTGGCGTAGTGAAGTGCTTTGCTCTTGCTGTGAACACACTCAGGGTGGTCCGAATTTGACATGTTACAGCAGGTGTGTTTGTTAATGTTTGTTACATCGACATGTTCAAGCAATTAGATTCTACGCTGCGAGATGCTTTTGTGTGTTCTTCACTTTCTGCAGACAGTCTGGACACGGAAAGGTCTTTACAGGATCACCCAGAGTTCAGCAGTGGAACAAACCATCTTCAGCGCCTGGAGACAAAAATTGCTGAGGGTATTGCATGCCAGATGGAATGACAACCATGGCCGCCATGGCCACAGTTTGAAGCTTGCTCCAATCAGGTCAGAACTTGGACAAATGACTGAAACAGGCAAAATCCATCCATGGACATTACTGCAACATCCTGCAGCTATGGCTAGGAGAGACCTTGGACATTTCGTCAGGATAAGGCATCGGACAAGGGGTAGAGTATGACCTACTTGGACCTACTTTTTGGTAAGTTATGCGATTAAACATTTCTCAGGCAATACTTCGCTTGTCTCTAACCATCGGCTTTTCATGGGGGACACCAATGATTTGTCAATTGCATTGGGCCGCTTCGGCTATTCTGCAAAGCGACTGAGCTTGCATACAATTTCGAGGCAAGCCAAGATCACGGTAGATGTTATAATGATCTGCAACAGATGCATCCACGTCAGCTCATGAGAACATTTGTGCTTTCTCCCATGTGTTTGGGCCCAAGAAGGGGCCCCTTTTGTGACCCGCACTTGACCGCCATGAAGGCACAGGTGGATCGCTGAGGTCCTACGGAAAAGGTCACTGCGGCCTTTGAGATCCTTTGAGCATAGCTTGCTTGGTGTTGGACAACCTCCTTTGTTTCGAGCCCTTTGCGCTGCCCCTGCGCTCCGCTACATTGGCAGCGGAGCGGACAGCTCCGGGGCCATCGTCGAGTACACCATCGAAGATTGGTTTGAACTCCGTGGCCTACCTTTTTGGTTTTGTGCTCTAGCTGCCTGGAAGGGCTTGCACTACACGAGAATGCCTTCCTCGCTTTTGGCTTTGAGCTTGGTGACTTGGCATAGCGCCCTGGTCGCTCCTTTTGTGCACTGAGTCTTCATCGACTACTTTGACCTCACCCCTGCCTTTGACCTTTTGGCCCTTGGCTCCTAGAGATGTTTCTTGAGAAGGAAACCATACCTTCTTGGGATGGATCGGCGCGATCATGGAGAAGGTACACCCGCGAGGTGTGTTGGTTTGTGAGAGGAACGGCAGTGGAGAAGCGGCGCTACTGCGCCACCAAACTGGTTTCAAGGCTTCGAGGACCCGCTCGGCCACTTGCAATGTCCTGGACCACCACGGACTTTGACCACACCCACGGCGCTCGCGACTTCCTTCGAAGACTGGCTGCATCGTCCTTAGTGGGACAGACTTTACCAAATGTACTTCGCCTTCAAGCGCGATGCACATGAAGCAATGAACAGCTTCTTAGTCCGTGAGGCCCTTGGCTACTCTGCATTTGTTGAGGCCCTCCTGCTTTTGTTCGAGGACAAGAAAGGCATCCGCCAACACGAGAAGTCCTTCGACCTGCCGGATGAAGAACCAAAGCAGGAGCAAGATGACTGGTGGAACTACGATGGCTATGATGAGCCAGCTGAACCTGGTGCTTCTGGTCACGCGACCCCTGCACAGGCTGATGACTCCAGCCCTGTTCACTCATGACAGCTGCTCGTGATGGCGGCGAAGGCCTCCACAAGATTTCACTCCGAGCCACCGCTCAGTTGGGATCGCCATGACTGATGTCCCACCTGGCTTTGGCCCTCTTGGCACCTTGGATGAGTTCTCCCTGGCGGACTCCTTCGTCTTGGGAGTCTTGAGAGGCTTTCGCTCGGCTGGACTGACAGCCGATGAGAAAAGAGACATCTTGTCAGCCACAAAGGGCAGATAAGAATTTGAAACCATCACCCAGGCGCTCCAAACGCTCTGGGACGAACACTTCCTGGGAAGCAGGGCATCGTCTTCTACAAGATCACCTATGTCCGGTGCTGTGGCGAACTACTACCAGGACACCTTCCATGCAAATGCTACGCAAAGCTGGTCTCATGCTGACGACCCTGGCATGAATCTTGGTGGCGTGATGCCAGGCCTGAATGGCATGAAGCGCAACATGGTCATGCTGAGGCCTCACCTCCTCCTGAAGACGACCCAAACGACAAAGATCTTCAGGACTCACCGCAAGCAGAGAAGGAAGCTGAAGCTCTGGCTCTCCAAGCTCAGAGGACGTGGTCCGAAGCTCAACGCGCCACTGCAGGAAAGATCGAGGCTTCGGCCAACACCGACCTGGCTCTTCAGGCGACGTCTGCTGCTTCAAATGTGGCGGCGACCACAGCTTCCCACCCAAAGGAAAGCATTATGGAAAGGGCAAGCCGATGTTCTGGTCTGAATGGGAGACACCCAAGCTCTACTGCATGAAGGGAAACGGAAAAGGAAAACACAAGGGCAAGAATGCTCATGCCCTCAGTGAAGAGGACGCTGACGTGTTCGCCATGTGGAAAGGAAAAGGAAAGAACAAATCCTTTTCTGCTGGCCGACCTCCAGTCAATGCCTACTCCAGCGAGATCTTCTATGGCCTGGAGATGAAGGAACCCATGAACCTCCATGCCACTTCGACATCCAGCTTGAAACCAGGCTGTGCTCTGTTGGACTGTGGGGCAACCGCCTCGGCAAGTCGAGAGGAATCTGTCAAGAACTTGATCAGCGCAATCGTCGCTGTGGATCGTGGAGCGACCGTCCAGGTGGCAAAGTACATGAGACCGTTTTTCGTTTTGGCAATGGCAAGTGGGGGCAAGCCAATTGTCGTGTTTCGGTGACCTCAACAGCTTCAGGCAAACCTCGTTCATTTCATGTCTACTGCCTCCCCAATCCTGAAGAATTTCGAAAAGAATGTTTTCACCACTCCAACATGGTCCCCATGCTCCTTGGTATGGACCACCTTTCAGGTCAAGAATCAGAAGTTTCAGAGTCAGCCCTCACTATTGATTTTGCCATTGAGTCGAGGAACCCTTCACCGACCATCTTCCAGCTCCCCGCGAACAAAAAGGGTCACTACATCCAGGACATTGCGCATTCCCTCACCCTTGGTAACACCAACTTCACGGGGAGCCCCACCATCAACATCGTCGAGGGGCCCTCGACGTCGATCGAGCTTCAAACATTGGAATTTCATCCTGTTGAGTTTCATGACACGAGTCTTGGAGATGCAGTACATGATGATGATTTTTTGGAACAGTCCACGCAAGCACCTGCTTTCGTTGCATGGGAGAGCACATGGCCATGATCTTCAACCAACCGCCGAAGCTAGCTGCCCTTGGACAACCGGCCCTCAATTCGCTTGTGTCCGCTCCCTTCCATCATGGCTCAGGGACCTCCGACGAGTGCACCACGGGACACCCTGGAGTTCATCAACTCTATGACTCCGGCAAAGACTCCATCCCGACCTCTGCAAGTCGAGTGATGGACATGGATCAGCACGACCCACGCTTGGATCCAATGCTCACGGAGAGCGGGTGCACTGCAGAGTGTGCAATCCTCGCCTGCGCTGCACGCCGAAGAAAGGCAGCAGCAGCGCTCGCACCAGGTGGCGAACGCCTTCATGGCTACCAGGACGCTGGACGAGCTGAAGATCCTCACGCGCAGCTTCACACCAACAGCGGCGATTTGCCTGGCCACGCAGGGGAAGGTCAACGCCGAGGAGACCCTCAACCACGGTCGTCCGTCCCCATGGCCCTCGTCTCATGGACCTGGAAACTGAAGCGCAAAGCAGTTGGGTCAAATGACGCTGAAGTTCAGTCAATCCTTGAGGCGGAGGACCAGAACTTTAGAGTTCGCTTGCTCTGGAGCGAGCTCCATGGCGTCGGCCCTCGGCCTTCAAAGTGCTGATCGCCGAGTCGACCTGGTGCAAGCAGCCGAAGACCAGGCCAGCCTTCTGCCTGGCGCGCTGTGCACAGACAGCCGCGGCGGCTACGATGCCGTCGAGGTGAACGAGTCACCGTTGCTCGGCCTGAGCAACACGCAGGCGGCCTTGCAGTCCTTCCAGTTGCGGGACGACCTGCGCCGCGTGGGCTGCGAGTTGCGCTGGTTGGCCTCCGACTACGACTTTGCGGATGGCTTCACCAAGAAGCGCGCCGACAGGCGCTTGGGCTTGGAAAAGTTCCTTCGCACCTGGCTGTGGTCGATAGCCTACGACCCGATGCGCTCGGCCATGGCTCCGACCCTTTGACCGGCACTGGGTCCATGAACTCCTTTGCGGCGCACGCCCTGGCAATGCGCGCTGAGCAGCTTGAGCTCGAGCAATACCACTTGCTGCTGAATGAGCGAGCCTTCACTCATGAGCTGAGTTGTTTTTGCCCTGGTGCAACAGATGCTTCCACGTCAGCTCATGAGAATACTTGTGTTTTTCCCATGAGAAGGGGCCCCTTTTGTGAGACGCACTTGACCGCCATGAAGGCACAGGTGGATCGCTGAGGTCCTACGGAAAAGGTCACTGCGGCCTTTGAGCATAGCTTGCTTGGTGTTGGACACCCTCCTGTGTTTCGAGCCCTTTGCGCTGCCCCTGCGCTCCGCTACATGATCTCAATATATATTTTTAATACATACATACTGTATATAGCGTTGCAAAGAGAATAAACAAGCACTTTGGCTTCCTTGTACGTTCCAGAGGATGACTAGCAAATCATCATGTTTTGGCCACCTGGCCGCGACCTGCTTTGCAGTTGTCGGATTGCCTTCGATCCTGACCTGAGGCAACTGCCACCGCCTGCCAACATTTACCAACATCGGGATGCGATGGTAAATGAAGTTCGGAAGAATCTTGCTGAAGGTGGGAAACTGGATTTGTAGTGTCAGCAACAAAGTACTAAGCGGTTTCGGACATGCTCATGTCGCTTCATTCCCCGTGGCTGCGTATTGAACATACATGAGTCTCAGGAGAGTTGGCGCTGCAGCAGCAGCTGAATCGGCAACAGGAACAACTTGAAGAGCTGCAGACACAGCACCTCACCAGAAAGTGTTTAATGTGAAAAAGAGAAGAAACAAATTAATGTAAAGGGCCCGTTTAATGAGGCCTCCCTTACAGGAGACTTGTTAAAGAAGCCCTTTACCTTTTTTTTGTGTGCGTTTTTTCAATAAAGTCCAACCGCTCTGAACATCTCCGACACCCAGCGCAGGCAACGCACACGCTTCAAGCTAGCTCTTGATTGCCAGGCAGCGTGCGTAAAATGTGCGCAATGTGTCAAATGTCAGGCCTTGCCAATCGTTTTCTCCAGGTCAAGGCAGATGAATATGCTTTAAGCAAGAGACACAACGAGCAGCTCATGCAGCTCCAACAGCAAGCCCAAGCGCGCCGAGCACAGCTCGAACAACAGGCTAGAATTCTGCGTCGCATCAACCTGTCTCTGAGTTTGAGCCTAACTTACCTCTTTGGGTTTCAGGGTTGTCCATTGTCATGTGAGGCAACCAGCTTGGTTTTGGAGTTTCAGCAGCGAAACTGGGACTCAAGGCTTTCCACTTACCCAACCACGGAACACTTGGGTAAATGTGAGGAAAGCTTCAGGAGGAGTTCTTCTTGCAGCAGAAAGAAATCCATAGGCAGCATCAAGAAGAACAGCAGAGGCCTGGAAAGAGAGTTGCTGTCTAGAACGTGTATTATACACGTCACCGCACTATATAATATAACGAGTTGCCTTGAGTGAGTTCCTGAGATATGCTTTGCAGGTTAGGAAGTGAGCTGCAAAAGTTGGGCTGTTCAGGAGAGTGCTAGAGTGCTTGGTAACGCTTTATTTTTGCGATACTTGTTCAGCAAGAAGACAGGAGCACAAGCCCTGACACTATTGGGCCCTCAATTCTTTAAAGTGTCGAGACAAGCCAAAGAATCGCTTCTTGGCAACCTGGAAAGTTCCAAACATTCAAACATTCGACATGTGTTTCACATGGTTTGAGAGAATGCATTTGCAAGTGGTTCCTCTCATTTTTGTTGCAGAGACCTTTACCCATCGCTTAGCTTGAACATGCATCGCAAAAGGTAGAGCAAGACTGAACCCTAGCATGCTAGGTAGGCTTTTGCAGGATGCGCGTGCATTCCATACCTTTGATTGTAGCCTTTTTGGTGGAGCCATATCACCGGCTCGGTGTTCACACTTGAGTCGGAATATCGTAGCCCCTAGAGGTTTCCGGTTTGATAACTCAGGCCGTCTAGTTTGACACTGAGTCATATACCAAGCTTCACTACGCCGAAGGCTGGACTTGCAACTGAGGGCTCGGCATGGCTCGGCTGTTCTTGGCCAGGCAGCATCTCTCACCACGCGGCCTTCCTTCCAGGTCTTCCAGAGCCATGTCGGCTGCGGCTGTCGGCTCACTTTCATTTGTCACGTAAACATCCAAGTCCAAGCCCCTAATTGACAGGCGATAGCAGGACGAGTTGTTGGAAGTATCTTAGATGCAAAAGTTTGTTAGGAAAACTTACTTTAGTTCGTGAACACACTGAGATGTATTGAGTTCTGGAAGTTCTGGACCTCTCTACTTCGCAAGGCATGCAACTACCGGCGGGAATGAATCGGTCATCCTCATGGGCCGGTCACGACTTGAGAAAACAAGAGGCATCGATCAAAGCTGTTTGAAGGCATTTGAAGACCGTTATTATTGATGTTTTATTTTGCATGCTTGATGTGCTCTTGAAATTCAGCTTTGCCTCATGAGATCTCATGAGGAACCTCAAAGCTAAAACATAGTGAAGCGACATTGTATTGGCATAGATTTGCCTTGTCAACAAAAGTCCTGGCAAGGGCGGATGCGATGTCCCTTCTTCCAGACTAAGGAATCGATAGCAGCATAGGAAAAGAGTCTCAGTGCTTTCAGCATGTTCACGAGCTTTTGCTATGTTGGCATCATTGAACTTTATTTGGTTTGACTGTAGCCTTCGTCGTAGTGGATATGACTCTTTGGGATTGGTGTTTGGAGCGCTCTCGTGGCATGTTGGGCCGGTAAGGAGGACCAACATCAACATAAACTCTATGCGTTCTGTGTTTGCTCCCTTGCTTCACCTTGATGAATAAATAGGTGCTGTGAAAACGTATGTGAGGACATGCACCACCTTCGATAGCCACCGGTTCCTGACAGGTTCCTCCACAGTGACTGAACACGTCACTTCGACGCACTGGCTCAAGAAAAGAGCGCGTGTTTTATGCTGCCAGTGTCGGAAGCAATTCCACACTGGTAGCGGAGCCTTGCTCCACGAGACCTCGGTCCCTCCCTTTCGTCACAGCCCGTTGAGGCCACGCTTCGTTCGCCGTGGTGCTCATGGCGTTGCTGGACACATTCCGGTATGTGAACTTCATCAAGGAGGCGGAGAATGTGAACAGCATTGACGGCAAGAATGGTGGCGGCATCCCCCGCTTCAATGGAGAAGCCACTCGCCTTGGCGAGTACGCCTGGCGCATCCGCGCATGGCCAGTGAGGCTGAGTTGCGCTTGGTGGAGCAACTATCCGGCGCTTCGTGTGGCACAGCAGGTGCCTCAATCAGTGCTGGCGAGCAAAGAAGGCGTCAAGAAGCTCTTGGAGAGCCTGGCATCGAAGCTGAAGCCACGGCGGGTCCAGGAGGCTCGTGAGCTGTACGCTGCTTGGGTGGAAAGATCACCATGGCTGGAGTTCAGCCTGAGCTCATAGCCCAACTCTCGACTTCACGAACGAGAGCATCGAGGGCGTGGGATTGGCCTTGAGAGGCCCAAAGACTCTGGTTGGCGACGCCGAGGAAAAGGAGGTGGGCATGGGATTAGCTACTTCTCTGAGGAGCACCCGACCAGTACGATGACTTCAATACCAGTCCGAGCATGTCTACACCAACGAGGAGAACTACAACGACTGGCAGGACTATGACCTCGGCGAGAATGATGACCATGGAGTACGCGGCCGACATCATCCAGGCCGATCAAGAGGTATACTTTGCGCGTGAATGTGCCAAGGAAAAGGGCATCAAGGGCTTCCAGAAGGGCAAGGGCAAGTCTTCCAGCTCTTCGGCAACAAAAGCTCCAGAATCTCGAGTCTCAAGGCCCAGGACCTGCAGGAGATGCGGCCAAGTTGGCCACTGGAGTGGCAAGTCATCCAAAGGGTCTGATTGGCAAAGGAGAAGGCGCTGGAGACAACAAGCCTCGCACCGTGTTCTTTGCCGCTCGAGCGAACGAGACCACGGGTGACCACACCGCCTTTATGGCCTATCGCACCCCCTTCAATGTCTTTGGAGCAGCACCACATCCGACGGAACTGCGCCAGGGAGAGAGGTGGGGTGATGTTCAATGTGCAAGAAGGCCAAGAGGTGATCAGGAGGACCTCGACATGATGATGCTGGTGTCAGCTTTGGGAGTTTCTGAATACATCGACTCCTGCAAGACTACCAGCTGAAGCTCGAGCGCCCGCACCTCTACCACCTGGACGAGACCCCCGACCACGTGAAGAACATGTTCAATGGTATAGTCGTGAGACCTCGCCTTCACAGGCCAAGCGTCGCCGTTGCCGTTGCGGGGTCAGTCAAACTAGGGATCAGTTCATTCATAGCGAGAATTGATGGGGCATACGTTCATTTCACCCGAGAATCAAGATGTGTTGGTTTCAAGGCTACAACACTTCTCGTTTCCAGGCGCCAACCTTTGAACGCCAAAAGGGGGAAGGGACGACCAACCATTACGGTTCAGCTCTGCTGCTGGTGTCGCACTTCAAGGCTGGCTTACGTTGTGAGAGCCAAGAACATCGTCAACGAGGCCTCGGATAGGGGATCTTTGATGACGGCCTCAGCGGTACACATGCTTGCTTTTGGCGTTCTGAAACCGTCTGTCTTAGAGCAGATGTTGAAAACGTAGGAGGAACAGGGAAATTGCAAAAAAAGACATCGGCAGAATGCAATGCAATGCCTTTTTTGTTGGGAAATTTGAGTTACCTTCTGCTGTTCCAGACCGGCAAAGACTATCAGAATGTCACCGCCTCACACGCAGGTGGAGAAGAATTCCGACTGCCAAGAAGTGACCCGATTGAAGAAGGCCTGTCCTGGAGACGTTCCAGAGTTCATTTCTTTGAAGCACGAAGCAATTGGCAGGTCGATGGCAGGAGTGACCGCAGTCCAACGATAGTTGCAAAAGGGAAGAGGCCGGTGCCCGATATGCCAATGGTACTCTTGGTCAGTTTGGTTTATTTTTTTCGGCATCAGGGTATATTCTCTGGCACATCTTCTTCGCAGAAGTTGATCTTGTTTTTTGATACGATTGTATCAGATACGGATAAAAAGCTGATACAATTCAGCGCTTCCAGGAAAATAAGCCAAACGGCAAGCTTTTCGTTTATATCCTTCCAGGGTATTTTCGCTTTGGCAAGCTTTTGTTCAGCGCTGCGCATGGACTTGGTTCCTCACTATCTGCAAGCAGCGGCTGTCAGGAGAGCTGTGCCAAGTTGGACAAATTCAGAGCTGTCGTGCCTGCAGAGTGTCATTGGACAAATTCAGTGCCCGTCGAAAGGAGCATGACTTTTCGAACAGGTTCCAAGGGGAAACTTTGATCCCACGACATGGTTATTTGGTTTATTTCTGTTTATTTGCCTGTGGCTGAAGGCCAGTGTAGAAAGTGCGCCGCCGCCCCCATGTTTCGTTGATGTTGTAGGATTTCTTCAAGAGTGGAGTGTTGCAAATTATGCAAATCTCTGATTTCACTAGTATTTGGATTTCCCGACCATGAAATGAACTGGGAATTCCCCGTACGAGCTGGCTCATCGATTGTGTTGCTTTTGCTTCATAGCGTTGCAGGGCTTGTGGTCAAACTGTCGTTTGAATGTGAAGTGTTTGAGCTCGGAGAAACCCAAGTGCAAGCCTATGGATTATAGTTCTGTCCACATATCTTGGACTTCTGCAATGAATCCAAAGTTGGTTAGCCCATAGCTGGTCTCTTTGCCGCCGTCTGCATTTCTGTCCACAGCGTTTTCAGCACCTTCCGCTACCACAACAGTTGCAACACTTTGCTGGTGGAAGTTTGGCCTGATGTTAGCAAGCACTTAGAGCATATCTCAACATCTCAACCATTAGTACAAACCTTTGTTGTTTGAGATACACATACACATGCAGTACATTAAGATAACGCTTTGGTACACTCTAGCAGGAAAGTTTCGACAAGTGCAAAGAAGACATGATTCACATGGTTTCCGCGTTCAAGAAAGTGCCAAAAGATTGACATGGCAAGGTCGATTGAAGCAAACAGCCGGGTGAAAGATGCTATTGCAAAGAACAGCAAAACAATAACGGGGTAACAATGCGACACCTTCTGCCAAGTTATTCATCCAGTGCAAACATGCAGCCTTTTGGGTTCCGTCATTATCCTTGGCGATGGTGTGGCCATGGACTTAGTTTCTTGCTAGATTTCCTTTTGTCTGAAGTTCTGGAGAAACATTCCTGGTGTCAAAAAATATGTCGCTACACCCTCGCCCTGATATTGCAGACATCACACAACCGTAGATCATGGCCCAATTAATGAACATATTTTTGAAATGAATGGAGAATGGATTTATGTATAGTTTTTAGCATAATATAATGTGAAACCAGCACGGAGTGATAGCATTTTGGGCAGGAAGCCCGGAAGGGCCCCGGCGTTTCTGAGAAAAGGTAGCGGCTGCCACACTGTGTTGCACATGTAAACATTAAACTAGGTTTGTTGTGCGGAGGCAACTTAGCTTTGGGGCGTCGGCGCGTGTAGGCATTGACGTAGGAACAACTTTGATCCCTTATAGGCGCCTCGGCAGCATCGCGTAGAATTCGCGTAGGCGCTTGTCCAAGACCATGTCTTGTGTGAGCGGAAACTGTGGCCGCGTATGCAGGTGCAGGCACTCGCGTAGGTGCTAAGAGATTTTAGGAGCTTTTATTTCAATCCAAGTCGCTCAAATGCGCAGGGTGGAAGCATTGAATCCGGATGTCCAAGCTTTTAGTTGCACTAAGTTTCTCAGTTTCTACTTCGTGGCTTTTAGATTTGCAATGTTGGCCTGAAGCGTTTGCGCAGCGTTCGTGCAGTTCTGTCATATATCATAATAAAACATATAAGCGCAATATCTCATGGCGTTGAGAGATTCTTGAAAAT